TATGTTCAGGAACTGAAGTGGTTTAGAAGAGTAATTACTGAAGGGAGAAAATATCATGCAGATGCAACATAGTTAAGAAACTGGCTGTTCAATGGGCCTTCCAGAATTTTATGGCTTTATATTCTCATTTTCCAAGTAATTTTTTTGGCTTAATCTTTTTTGTTTGTTTGTTTGATCCCAGCTGCCAATTTTAGTTGCTCCAATTTCGTGTTTCACTGGAAGGAGTTCCAAACAACTGATTCCCCACATATGTATTGAGCATCTTTTTTCTTAAAGGGAGAAGGCTGCTGTTTTCCTTAACTTCTTTCTCCAAATGGATTAGTCAATCTAAGAAATCTAATCAATCTAAGTATATAAGTTCCAGATCCCATAGTTATTTATTTTTATTAATATTAAAGGCATCAAATAAACATCGATCTGTAGAGAATCTAGAAAGGACAGGAAGCCCGTATGTGAGCGGAGCACGGGGCTGTGAGGGGAGGGAGGGTGTGCTCCGCTCCTCACTGGCTGGGAGCTCTGAGGTGAGATGTGACCCCTGGCCGAGAGCCCCATTTTGTGCTCAGAGATTCCAGTCCTCTGAAAGGCCAATATAGGACGAGTAGGTGTTTTTATTTCAATTAGGAATGAGGATAGGAAGAAGGACGTGGTTGCTGCTTTTCTTTAGGAGTATGTGGGACAGGGCAGGAGGGGTGTCCCCAGGAATGACATGGAAAATATCTATAATGAGCATGGAAGGCACTACCAATTTATTCAAAATTACTATTGATAGTGTGCCTTCCTGGTGGCCCTGGCTGGTAACTGGCACCAGGGCCAGCTGCTGCAGCCAAGAGGCAGGGCCAGAGCAGAGAAAAACAGCTCCAGCAGGGGCTGTGTGCCACTCTGGGTGTTCCTTCTTTGATTCCCCTGGGCCTGCCTGTGAGGTTCTTCCAAGGGCTACTGTTAGATTGTCTCCTAAAATCACCTCCAAGGTCTATTTTAGACTAAACTGAATAAGCAGACATGCAATGCCAAACTCGATTCATTTTCCCCCACGGTTTCTATGTATTACACAAAAATTTTTCTCAGTTGACCTAGAAGTCTCATATATCCATAGCTCAGGCTGTGACTGTGGCCTAATGCAAACACTCTAAGACCACACCTCAGCCTGCTCAAGGAGTCTTAGAGTAAAATGGCATTTGTCCCCAGGATGACACAGTGGGACTCACAGCAGAGGTTGTTGAAATTGGCAATGTTGTCAAACACCTGGCCCTGAGGAGGTCCTGCAAACACATTGCCCAAGTGCCTGTTGTTCTATCCTATCATTGTTATTAAGGCTAGAATGTGCAGTGCCAGAGGGTGCCAAGGGGTGCTGCAGAGGTAAGCCCAGGCCTGGCAGTCACAACCCAGGGGCAGGATGGGGCTAGAGAGGGGCGAGAATGGAGCCAGCTCTGGCCTGGCTTTAGAAACGTTTCTGCCGGAGGTGGACAGGTCTCAGCTCTGCTAATAGAATTATCCCTTCCCTTTTTGTTTAGTTTCTGCTCTTTCCAGCCCAGCCTGAAGGGGAAAGGCATCACAGAGGACCTCCTCAGTCCAAGGTAAGGGCAGGGCAGCTCTCTGGGCGAGGCGCTGGCCTCACGTGGATTTCCTTCCTCTGCCTTGCCCTACTCCACGGAAGCCACGCAGAAAGCTCAGCAGTCTCTCGCCCCTTTACTTCCCTCTTGTCCCTGTGCGTCCTTCATCGTACTCCTGAAAGTCCTCGTGCCAAGTAAACCTCTATGCATAGACTTGAAGCCCCACATGCTCTGTGGCTTTTTCAATCAAGTCAGGGTCAGCCTGGAGGTCAGGCCCTCAGGTATAGGTGTGTGAGCAACCCCAGGCCTGCGCCTCCTATAATGAGAGTCTCTGAATGCTTAGAAGCCAATTAATGTGGGAAGGGGAGTGAATCAGCTGTTAATCTGTGAGTCTATGACATAGGACATCTTTCTCAATGAATGAACTGCTTGCAGCCCCCACCCCGGACCCCGTTACCAGAGCCAGTAGGTGCTTTTACTTCAATTAGGAATGGGGCTAGGAAGAAGGACGTGGTTGCTGCTTTTCTTTAGGAGCATCTGGGGACAGGGCAGGAAGGGTGCGCCCAGTAATGACATGCAAAATATTTATGGAATATTCATTCAAAATAATTTATCAATAGCTTGTGAGGTGTGGTATTCGCTGCTTGACAGAGCAACAAGCAAAATGGCTTCAGATATTCCCCGTCCTTACAGAGTCTGTATTCTTGTGAGGAGGACAGCCATAAAGCCGTCTAGATGAGAGACTTGGCAGCATGTTAGACAGTGGCCAGTGTACGTGGAGGAACCCAGGGACAGACACGGGCACGGAAATCTTACATGGTGTGGCAAGGCGGCCCTTGTCAAGGAAACGGTGTTTGAATTAAGACGCTAGCAAACTGGGGAAACGAGCTGTGAAGCTAAGTTGGGGAAGAGCGTGTCCGGTCGAGGGAGGAGCGAGGTGCAGCGGGGGCCTGCAGGTTGGGGTGCAGGGAGTTAGTGGGAGCAGAGAGAGCCCACAGGGGCGAGTTGGTGCAAGCCTTGAGGTCATGGCTATGGTGTTGGCCTTCACTCTGAATTAATGGGAAGGCTTGGAGGGTTTGGGGCAAAGGAACAGGATGATCTGACTTATATTGAAAAGAATCGCTCTGACTGCTGCAAGAATGAACTGTAGTGGCCAGAGGCAGAAGCTGGAGTCTGGTTGGTAGGCCACTGCAGCAGTTGAGGGAGATGGCAGCAAAAACAGCATGATATGGGCAGATTAAGGATGATTTTTGAAGGTGTATCTGATGGTATTGGATGACAAAGTAAGCGTGGGGTTTGTGTGTAAGAGAGAGGACTTAAGACTGAGGATTTAGGCTTGAGCAATTGAGAAGTGAAATTGGGATGACCACAGGAAGAGCCACTGTGGGCTGGGGTGGACACCAGGAGCTCAAGTGTGGATGTGTGAACTTTGAGATGCCTGTCACGCATGCAGGCAGAGGCATCGTGGAGGCCATTGGATCTATGAGTTTGGAGTTCAAGGGAGAGGTCCGGGTGAGATGTACATTTGGAATAGTGTTTAAAGCCATGAGAGTGGGCAAGAACTTCAATAGAATGCTTGCACATGGAAAAGAGGTCCAAGGACTGTGCCCTGGGCACAGTAACCTTTAGAAGGTAAAGATGTGGACAGGGCCAGCAAAAGAGATGGGGAAGGCGTAGCCAGAAAGGTAGCAGAAACTGCAGGTGTGGAAGACATCCTAAAAGCCGGTGGAGTGCATCACAGTGGGAGAGGTCAAATGTTGATGGGCCAAGAAGGATAAGAACTAAAACATGATAATTGAACTTGGCAACATTGGAGCCATTGATGGCCTTCAGTAGACAGATTGCAGTGGCTGCCTATTGTGCCAGGTATTTACCCTTTAGTTGATAGATTGTGGGGAAGTCCAAGGTGTGCCAGGGCATGGTCCAGAAGGTCTGGGCAGCAGTGGGTCACCAGAGGTGGGTGGCGGCTATTTACAAGCCACAGTGGATGTAGTTCACTAGTGCAACAGCAGCACAGCCCTCAGTGCACGCATCTGCTGCGCATTGGCTTGGTGATCTCCTCTTGCTCGTTTTATATAAGCTTCTGGTTCACACTTGGATTTCTTAGCACTGTTTCAGTACGAGTGAGAGAAAGCTATCTCAAAATAACTGAAGCAAAAGAGAGGATTCATCACCTCACCTCATCCAAAGGCCAAGAATGGTCTGGATCTCTAGGCTCTGGATCTCTAGGCTCTGGAACTCTAGGCTCTGGAACTCTAGGCTCTGGATCTCTAGGCTCTGGAACTCTAGGCTCTGGATCTCTAGGCTCTGGATCTCTAGGCTCTGGAACTCTAGGCTCTGGAACTCTAGGCTCTGGATCTCTAGGCTCTGGAACTCTAGGCTCTGGATCTCTAGGCTCTGGAACTCTAGGCTCTGGATCTCTAGGCTCTGGAACTCTAGGCTCAAGTGAGTCTGCAGGGAGCCATGGCCCTCCATCCCTAGGAGAGGCTTTCCCTTGGACGGGCTCCATTCTTGGCGGGCTTTCCCAGCATAGCAGCATGGAAGTCCCAAGCAGTCTGGAAGCTCCAGGCTGACATCCATCATATAGGAATTCCACCATACATCACACATGCTCCATTCCAATAATTTTGGCAAAAATCCCCAAACTGGATGTCATTCTCCCAAGTTGAGTTGCATGCCCACCCTAGAACCGATCAAGTGTTTTCACTGCCCAGTTTCTAGGGGTGAGGTGGGACCCACCTGGCAACATGAACCAAGCCAGGGGAGTGGAGTTCCCTAGAGAATAGAGGTTCTGTTCTCACAGGGGTGAATACTGAGGTGTGACCCGCAGCAGCTGGCTATCCACTGCCGTGTGCAGAGAGGGCTGCAAGGACCCGGGCACCTGCTGGCTGCACGTGGCTTTCTCCCTCCCTGGAACAGTTCTGCATGAGCTGTGACACAGATCACTTCCCTGAGCCCTATTTGTCCCTGAAGCTCCCCCTCCTATGAATATATGATGTGACATCACTCAGCAATTGTGTAGCTGCCCCTGTGACTGTGAGCAGCACTCGGTCTATTCCTAATCTGTCACCCTCAGAGTCTTTGGGGTGCTTTGACCTGACAACACATACCTCTGTCCACAGGGGAAAGTTTCTGTGTTTCTACTCCAAATAGAGAGGGGGCGGACAGAGCAGGGCAGAGGGAAAAGCGTGGAAGAGGGCCTGAAGCCTGGCTGTGGCCACTAAGCTGGGGGTTCCTACAGAAAGGATCGCCAGGTGGTAGGAAGACGATTGTCTGGGTATGAGTCAGATGTTTGGAAATTACTCCTCACTCATCCACAGCTTGCTGATGGCCCTCGACACCTGCCTGTGCACTACCTTGCATGTGTGGAACAACTCAGCACCACACTGATTTTATTTCCGCTGTGGTGACTTTGCCACCATGGCCACCCATGCCCACCGGAGCAGGGTCATCAGGGCCATTCTATGCCCTGCCGGGCACAGTCCAGCACAGCTCCAAGAGTAAAGATCCTTGGGGAAGCTTCTAGGGTCAGCTGAGAACAGTGCACAGTGCTCCAGAGAAATGCCCATCTCAGCATTTCACTGAGAGTCTCAACAAAATGAGGACGCCCCAGCAGAGTGCAGGCACTAGGCTCCGAGGCCACCCAAGCAGCAGCAAGGGCGTGTGGTGAGACTGTGCTCAGTTAACAGCCGTGGGCCTTGGAATCAAGCTGACTGCGCTGACCTGGACCCATCGGAGTCGCCCTGTAAATTGTAATCTCTTTGCCTAGCTTCAGAGTTACCTGCTGTGTGTTTGGGATGTTAATGGAGCGACCGATTAAAAACAAGCGGTTGTCCCTGGGCTCAGCTTTTCTGAGTCTCCCCTGTCCAGCCCTCTTCTCAGCAGCCTGAGTGTGGCTTCAGGAGCTCTGGGGTGGGAAGGCAGTGGTGGCCCTTGGCCCTAGGTGGGCTTGGCTGGCCATTGCCATGTGCCTGGAATGAACCTGATGATTTTCCATTTGGGTTGCCAGAGGCAATGCTTGGTCCATAGAATGAGTCTTAAAAAATGCCTGGCTGCTTGTTGATTACTCTAGTGAGCATGAACTTCTCATCTCTAAAGGAGTTGTGTGTAGTGCAGTTCTAGGGGTTTTCACTGCTTGGCCTTTGCCATAGGTTTTCATATCTTCAACCCCCCCCCCAAATGATGCCTCGTTTGGACCCTTTGGATGCCATCCCCCATGTACAGGAAACTGGAGCTTTCGGTGCCAGAGTTTTCCTGACTTTCAGTGACCAAGGTTGCCTCTACAACTATACACATACTAAGGAGGATCTCTGGGCCTGGATCCTTGGTGGAAAATACTTGCAATGTCTGGATGAATCTGGGATCCACAGCTCATCTATGGGACTAGTCCCCAGGCTACAGGACTAGACCATTCTGAAGACAGCATGATCTGACTTCCGCAGAGTGTAAAGCTCTGCAAGCCTACAGGGCCTTCTAACACAAAGCCAGCTAGAGCCTTGGACAAGCCACTCCATGGTGTTGGACACAGGCAGGCTCTGTTCCAGCATGAAGGGGGGCAGTCAGAAAAGGAGAAACATGGCAGAAGTTGCAAGGAAAGGAGAATGCACATGTGAATAAACACACATCCTTCCACTTAAATGTGCTTGGGCCCTTCCAGAAAGGGTTGGAAACAGCCTCAAAATTAAACACATGGTATAACAGTCCTTTAATTATTACCCCAATGCTTCTTTAAGGGAGAAAAACAATAGATGTGATCACCTGGAGTGATCTAGTTACTCTAATTGTCCTGAAACTAAGAAAAACAAAACAAAACAAGCATGTTGGGTTATATCATTTTCCAGTAACAGATAACAAAAACCAGATTTTTAAGAATTTTTTCTGGAACATACTTTATCTTGGCACTAAAGCATAGTGAGTACCAGAGGCAGCACTTCCCTTTTTACAGAATATGCAAAAAAGAGTGCCACAGAACATAACCTTTGAGATTAGCTCTCTGCAAGAATGGGGGCCTAACACTGGGACCTATTTCTGCACAGACCTTTGGGAAGGCAGCGTGTCCTGGCTCAGGTACAGTGCTTCCCAGTGATCTCTGTTCATCCTGAGCCCAGAGCTGAGAACACTGGAGGAATACAAGACTAGGATGCCTGCCTGGCTCTCCCTCTCTCAATCTCTGCTGGACTCAGCACACATCTTTGAATGAACTGGAGGAATCTTTGCATAGCCGTGGTTTCTAACAAGGTCTGAAATGCTGACTGGTCTTGGCATTGAGGCAACAGTGTCCCTTGGCTGGAGAAAACAGTTGGGTGTGAGGTAGTGCTTATATTTGGGGCCTGTTGTACCTAGATGTTTGCAATTGCTGAAATCTTCTCTCAGTTGTATAACTTCTTTAAGTATGATGTTTAGAATGAAATTCATTTTGGGTGGTGCAAGTTCTATAGTTGAGTGTTTTCAGTTTGTTGTTTCCTTTACATATTATCTTTGAGAAAAATAATGAAAGACAAAGAATTTAGAAAACCAACCATAAGACGCTCTGCAGTTCCCACAAGAATATGACTTTCTGCTATAATCAATCACGTCCCCAGAGGCCCCGCTGCTAGCAGCAGGGAGGCCAGAGCTCAACTTCTCTTTTTCCCCATTTCTCCTTTTTCAGTTATACGCCCAAGAGATCAATGCCCTTGGCTAAAGATCAGTAAGGCACACTGGAACTTTGATAAAGGTGGTGGAAAAGCATGGTCCATGGGTTTCTTGGTAAAGTCCAGCCCTGGGAGAGCAGTTGTGTGTGCCAAACAACTCATACCCTGGGGCTAGGGCAGAGTTGACGGAACCCAAGGTGAACCAAAGCTGGCCACAAACTCAAAGTGAGAGTGCCAGCCAATGCCTCAGCATTCAGGAGCTTTTTACCCAGTTGGCTCAATGGACTATGGACATCCCTGCCTGAGTTGTGCTCAGACCTTGGCTCTGGCCCCGTCTCATATTATTCTTGCTGCACCAGGTTTGTGTCTTGTTTCAGCCCTGTCCTCAGCCGTGACCTCAGACCCCTTCCTGGGCAAAGGCCTGACTCAAGCCTGCTCTCTGCAGTGGGCCTGCCCCTTCCAGCTCTACCCAGCCATGTTGTGTCCACAGCCTCCACACTCCCATACCACCAAGGCCGGGGGGCGGGGGCAGGTGTGTGACAGCCCAGCAGTGGTGAAGAGCAACCCACTGGTTCAAGTTTTCCCCACCCCACTTGCTTCCTGTGCCCAGCCACCTCCAGAAAGCCTGGCACATAGAAAAGCCATGCATTTTTAAATTTTAGCATCTTTCCCAGTAATCTGCAAGGAAAAGATCAACAGCAGGTAATTTTAGACTAGTAGGGTGAGCCGAGGTTAAGGTGCCAAAAATGCCTTAATCCTGCCGGATGGTTGAGGAATTTGCAGCTCTTGGCTGACTAGGTGTGTTGCAGTCTGACTTTGGCTTGCCATAGTGCCTCATGCGTGAACACAGGACAGGAGTACAAGGATCTGTTTATTGTTGCATCTGGGCTGTAAGATTGGTTTTTTAAAAATTGTCTTAAAATATAGATTCACAGGAAGCTGCAAACAGGATACACAGAGGCCCCATGTACCTTTCCTTTAGTTCCTCCCCTCCAATGGCTACATTTTATGTAACTCTAGTACAATTTCGAAACTAGGATGTTAACACTGGTACATGCATATGCAAAGTTCATTGTCATTTTATCATATGTGTAGATTTGCGTAACCACCACCACAATCAACATACACAATTATTTTGTCACCACAAAGATATCTCTTGTGCTAACACTTTATGGTCATGCCCACCCTCTTCTTCCTCCCACCATCCTTAACTCCCGGCAACCACTGATCTGTTTTTTATCTCTATTATTTTGTCATTTTGTTGCATGTATCAATAGTATGTTCCTTGTCATTGCTGAGTAGTATTCCCAGGTATGAATATACCAGAATTTGTTTAACCATTTGTGCATTGAGGGACATTTGGTTGTTTCCAGTTCGGGGCCATTATAAGCAAAATAGACCATTTACATTTACTGTAATTACGAAAATATTAGAACGTAAGTCTGCCATTTTATTTTTTGTGTTCCATTTTTCCCCTGATGTTCATTTCTCTGTTTTATTTTTTTCCTGCCTACCTGTGCATTACTGAACAATTTGTTAAAATTCAACTTTGATTTAGCTATCGTATTTTTTAGCATGTTTCTCTATGTAAATTTTTAATAAAATTGCTCCAGCCAACAGAGGCCAAACACAGCAGGTGACCAAGGTCAGACCTGGCTTTTAAAAATGGTGATGCTTAGGTTAGTGTGAATAGAGATTTTTTCCTATTCAAGGAACAAGAAACCCTGTGGCTTTTCTATGAAGTGTTTTTCGGCTAAACACGATTTCCAGAGAGTAAAGGTGACTGAGGCATCTTAGAGCATGAAGGAACATTAACAGCAAGGAAGACTTGACAGAGAAAGAAACAGAGCCCGGAGGATGCCTCCTAACTGGTCTCTGTCTCCAGCCTCTGCCACATGCCACTGCCAGCATTCCCTGGCTAAAGACGTATCTAACTGGAGCACATTCTGGGGAAAATGGGGCCTACCGCCTGTTTATTTCTCAATCCTGGTGAAGTGAAATGCACTTAAAGCCCCTTCCTGAGACGTGGCCATGGAGGGAAGGCGTGATAGACAGGTGTCATGCCACACAAGCGAGCACTGGGCAGCAAGTGCAGGAGCAGACGTCGAGGGTCCCTGGCGGGGTGAGCAGGCAGGCGGGGCGCGGGGCAGACCCGCACTCAGCCCCAGAGCCTCCTGGGGCACGGGCACCTGTGACCACAGCACTTTTCTAACTTCTCTTCGTTGCCCGTCCTTTTGAATAGGTAGGGGGAGAATACTGACTCTAAAGAAAAGGTGTCTCTCAAGGGGGCAGAGCTGAAGTGGGCAGTATCCCAGTAACTAGTCACCACTCTGTCTGACCATGTGTCCCCACATGGAGTCTGTGCCTCTGGGGCCAGGGGCGAAGTGGGCAAGTGGGCTCCTTTGCGGACACGCCCAGGAGCCCGACAGACTAGGGGTGCTTCCCCAGTCTGAGATGTGGCGTCTTGTCATGCACTTCTCGGACACAGTTGCTCCCCTCGTCCTCAGAAGGACCTGTAATAAATCATTCAGACATCAAATGAAGAGAAAAGTGCAAAGGACAGTGCTCGACGTTAGCAAGGATACAGGGAGATGGGTCCTCTAACATGTTACTTGGTAGACATATAAATATGTGTAACATCATATGAGCTCCTCGATGGCATGTATCAAAAATTATTTGCAAAAACACACCCTTTAGCACAATATTTCCAATAATGAAGCTGTGTCAAGGATATAATCCAAAATATTTTAAAACATTTTAGTCATATAGGCTTTCATCACAAAACTATTTCTATAAGTGAAAAAATTAGAAACAACTTAAAGGCTCAACTGGGACTTGTGCTTAGTATATTCGTAAGAATAACTATCTTGCAGATGTTTTAAGCTATGGTTATTAAGACCACATAAAAATATGGCTTTCAAAGTGGGATAGAAATGACATGAATGCTATAATTTTAACTACTTATAAAACTATATACAGAAAACTATCTAGTAAGGAAATCTGCAGTATTATAGTTGGCTTACACTGTAGAATGATGGCTACTTTCAACTGCTATATTTAATACTAGGTTGTGGTTCTGTTGCTTTTATAATGGAAAGCATTTAATAAAAGGAAAAACCGAAATGAAAATTTTGAATCTAGATCTCCCCAGATTTTAGGAGGATGGTAGGTGGTCAAGCTGAGCACTGCAAAGGGGATCCCAGTGCGGCGTGAGGGCATGCGTGTGCTGCCTGCGCAGACTGAGCTGAGCCGGCCAGACTGGTGGCCGCCTCCCCGTGCTGCCCAGCAACCACCGTGGCAGGACTTGCCACCAATACAGGCAAGTCTTGGGGAAGAAAGCCTCCTTCAAGGTATCTTCCCTGAATCTTTAATTGTAGACAGTAGGAAGGTATGAGTGAATGATACACAGTGAAGCTAGCTATTCTGAGAATTGACTCTACTGTGGTCACTTCTACCAAAAAAAATCAAGCGTGAGTGGCAACACTGTCCAGAGTAGTATTTCAGTTCCAAAATGCTCCAAGCTCTCGTTCCTGAGGAAGACTGTTATGTACTCTATCTGCTCCCTGTTTAAGGCACAGCAACCCTTGGAGTTAGAGACAGTAATAGTCCCACTTTACAGGTGAGGGAGCCAAAGCTAAGTTAGGTGCCCAAGGACATGGCAAGTCAGAAGCAGAGCTGCCACAGACCTAGATCTGTCCAACTCCAAAGACTTTGACTTTTCTCTAAGCTAGGCCAACCCTGCAAATCATGTGACCCTGATCTCCTATGTTCCTCAGATGATGTTCTGCCCCTTCTTTTAGCCAGTCTCTCCTCCAACTTGCACAAGGCAAGCCAAGCTCTCCCTAGCTGGACAGGTCCCTGCACCTAACACGGTGCCTAGCAAGGTATTTATTTATTGGATGCATCAACCCGTACCTGCTCCCATTCTTCCCTTCCTATCATGAGGGAATGGAAAAGCACTGGATATAGTAGTATGGGAATGTAACCTCATGCATTCACAGCCAGTCAAGGGCATGGAGATTTAGTCTAGAAGCTCCTAGAGGAAATTATGTAAGCACAGTTAAGAGAAAAATATAGTACTGCTTTGGGCCCAAAAAGCTACCTGCCAATACTTAATGATGACACCTTCGCATTTCTGTGGCTCAGCTCCATCCCCTGCCTGAGACCAAGTGCCCACCGGCTCCCCTGCAGCCATTCTCTGAGACGCCTTACCTCTGAGGCCCAGACCCAGAGCATCCCACAGAGCAAGCTCCACCTCCAGGAGCTGGGGTGGGTTCTGAAATGCCAGGCTGCTGGCGGTAAGAGTGTGTGGCAGCACTCGCCGCCAGGCCACAGGCGCAGGCAGGAGAGTTCTGGGGCTGAAGTGAGAGGGACGCCCTTCCTGGGCCGCGTGCCTGTGTGTGTGGTGGAGAAGAGACACCTGCGCAGTGGCCAGGAACCAACAGCCCTCGGCCGACCCAATCACAAAGCCGGGGAAGCAGAGAATCAGGTGTTTTATAGGCTGGACTGAAGGGCTGTCACAGTCACAGGGGCCCTCCTTCTCTGGTGGGTACAGCCCCCCTTCCTTCTCCCCTTCCCCTTCCCCTCCTGCCTCAGGGTCAGGACCGCGTCACCTCCAGTCTTCCTGGGATTCCTTGGCCATGGAGTTGGGTGAGACCAGGCTGGAAAAGATGGCCTTTTTCGGTGCTGTCAAGGCCGTGTTCTTGATCTTATTCAGCTTGTCCCGGGCAACTTGGCATTTTCTCAGGCAGCCCGCACACAGATCCTTCTCTTCCACCAGGTATAGGTTCTCCAGCCTTTTGATGGAATCTATGAATGCTTCCGACTCCTCCGGCTTTGGAAAGGGGTTCCGCTTTGTGTTGAGCTTTTTCAGCTTGGGGAGTTTGGAGATGCTCACAGGGATGCTGCTGATCAGGTTGTCGTGGAGCCCCACCTCGTGCAGCTCCTTCAGGGCGCCCAGCGTGGTGGGCACGCTGTCCAGGTGGTTCAAGCCCAGGTTTATGGTGCGGAGGTTCTTGAGCTGGTTCAGCTCCACGGGCAGGCCGTTGGAGGTCAGCTTGTTGTTGCTGACGTTGAGGAGGAGCAGGCCGGTCATCTGGCCGATGGACTCGGGCAGCTTGTCGATGTAGTTGCTGTGCAGGTCCAGCCACCGGAGGTTCTGGAACTTGGAGATGGATTCAGGGATCTTCCTGATCAAGTTCCGGCTGAGGTCGAGCTCGTCCACATCATTGAGCCGCAGAATACACTTAGGGAAGGTGGTGATTCCCATCTTGCTCAAGTCAAGTCGTTTTCTCCCATCGAATGTGACTTTGATGCAGTTCTTGGCCACACTGAGGGTGATCTTCTTGCCCTTGGGGGCTTTCGTGCCTTTGGCCATGTTCTTTTAGCAGGGGAGTGTGTTTGAAGTACCCTTGTTGATGTTGTTCTGATGGGATGGTGATGGGTGTGAGGAAAAAGTCACATGAAACTACTTGAAGATAAACTCTGAAGGAACAGAAAAAACACCTAGTTAGGAGATGATGTAAAAAGAGAGAAAGAGGGTAGTGGGGAGGAATCAGGGTGTTGGCAAAGTAACCCAGCCAAGGATCTCCAGCCAACTGCCGCAGGGTCGGCCAGAGCGACCTTGACACCTGTCTCGCTGTGTGGTGCACACCCTCCCTGGGGAATTCCCTCGCTGTCCTGGACTTGCCATATGCCCCCACCCGGGGCAGCACATGTGTGTGTGTTGTGTGTCTGTGTGCATGTGCATGTTCTTGGATATCTGCCACTTCTCACACGCGGGCATAAATCTAGTATCTCCTTAAGTTATCACACAAGTTCCTGGGGAGGACCGCTGAGTTCTTGGAAGCAACATATGCCTGGAAATGAGGAAATCTGTGGGCATTAAGACTGACTTATTATATCCCTTTTCACCGGATAGACCCAGAGGGACTAGACAGGCCTTGGCTACTATCACCACAGAGCACCAGGAGCAGCGCAAAACAGCCTGATGCTCGCCCAGAAGCATCAGGGCGTCCCCTGTTCTCTTTGGTTCTGGAACCCTGTTTCCAACAACTCAGTGCCTCTTGCTTGGTGATTTTCTATTTTGGGACCGAGAGTCCCAAGCCAGGCAGAAGCGTGCTATTGGAAGACAGACGCTGGCGCTGGCTCGTTCCCCACAGGGCAGACCGGGAGGGTGCTCTGCAGTTCCTGTGCTCCATCTTCCAGTCCTTTATTAGGGTCCAAGTAGATATGACACAGGAACGTCCGGCAATCAAGCTGTTTGGGCCTATCATCACATGTTTTCCTCACCCAGGAATCCTCAGTATGCAAGGGAGATGTGTAGAAATGGCCTTTCTCAGGCTTATTATAAACCCACCATCACCACTCTTAGACAGAGGTCAGAGGGTCCCGGCCATTGCGAGTCCTGCTGGGTCCCAGCCTCCCGGGATGGACGGTGGTCTCCATATAAACCAGTGAAAGAATCCTTAGCTCTCAGCAGTGTCGATGTTCTTTGCACAGGCCTTGTAAGCTGGCCCTATGCTTTAGAAATTGTGGGCGTACCACATTTAAGCGTAAATGGCTGGTTACCCGAGACAGCACATGTTCATCTGTATGGAAGTTTCTATATCATTCAGCTCTTAGGATCCAGATAAGATAAAGCAACTTAAAAAAGAAAGCAGGTTTTCCAGTTCTTGCTAAGATGGAGTAAGCACACCCTGCCCTGCCTCACCCTGAAAGCAACTAAAGACCTTAGGCAGGTGTGTAGAGGAGCACCCCAGGATCTGCAGACAAATGGCATCAGGCAGGTCGGAGAAGAAATCCATAACCCAAAGTAACAGCACTCTGGCTGCATGTTTCCCGAATGTCCCTCCTCCCCTCAGCCGTGCCCCTTGGCCTGGACTCAAAGACAGCCCAGAACACAAACCTTGCACCAGGTAAGGACAGAGAGATTTCTGATTCCTAACAAGAGCCTCTCTTCTTGGTCCAAGAGCAGAAAGGATCAGAGAGAGTGAGGGGATCTGGGTCGTGCTCTGTTTGCTCCCCTCCTCTCCTGCCTCAGTCCTGGCAGCCCTGCGTCCGGGGGTCACCAGGCAGGCACCTAGCAGCCTAAGGAGGAACCGTCTTCTCTGACCAAACTGTGGTGCTGAGCGCCTGAGGTCTGGTTGCTTTGTTTCCTCCGCCTTACTGGCACTAGGCCCTAGAGGCAGAACAGTGGCAAGAAGTGTGCTGTAGCCCTACAAAACAAAATCCCGGCACTTCAGCCAAGAGACCAAGGAAAGGGGGAGGGCAGAGGTACTTCTGGGAGCCAAAGTGTCAGGGAGATTACAAAGAGGAGGGAGTTCAGAAAAACTGATTCACAAAGTTGTATATGAACTGTGGACTTGCCCTGAACCACTTTTACTTTGATGGGCTTTTAAAAAGGCCTGATTTAAGGAAAACACTGTATATAGTCATGCACTGCATAATGACATTTTTTTTTGGTCAACAATGGACTGCATATATGACGGTGGTCCCATAAAATTACAGTACTATATTTTTACCGTATCTTTTCTATGTTTACACACACACGTTACCATTGCCTGCAGTACTCAGCACTGTAGCATGCTGTGCAGGCTAATAGCCAAGGAGCAATAGGCTGTCCCATGTGGCCTAGGTGTGTAGTGGACCACCTCCTCTAGGTCTGTGTAAGCACTCTAGGACGTTTGCATAACGATGAAATTGCCTAGTGACACATTTCTCAGAATGCAACCCTGTCATTAAGCGAAGCATATCTGTATGTGCATGTGTGTGTGTCTATATCTAAGCCTGTATTTATATCTCAGAAGGAGTGGAAAAAGTTGTGCAGAAAAATATTTGAAGGAAAAACGGCTGAACATTTTCAAAAGTTGGTGGAAAACATAAAAATTACAATTGCAAGGAGCTCAGCAAATTCCAAATAGGATAAATGAACTCAAATAAATTCATATGCAGACACATAACCTCACTACTTAAAATTAAAGAAGAAACTTGAAACCTGCCGGAAAAGAATAACGCGTCGCCCTCAGGGGAACAGCGAAGGGACGATACAGGTTTCTCATCAGAAACCATGGAGGCTGGAGGTACTGAAAAATAGTTTTTAAAGTGCTGAAAGAAAAGAATGTCAGCCCAGACAGTGAAAGTGGAAAAGTAAAGATATTCTCAAATGAATTAAAAATAAAAGGTTTGGCCACTAGCTGAGCTGCTCTAAAAGAAATGCCAGAGGTAGTTGTTCAGATGGAAAGGTGAGCCTCACTAAAGAGAAACTTGGAGCTTTGGGGATCAAGGAAGAGCAGTGGACATGGCAAATATCTGGGTAAATATAACAGACTATTCCTTCCCTCTTAAGACTTTTAAAACATATATGTGGTTGAAAGCAAAAATTAAAACACTACCTGATGGGGTTGTCAAAGTATATAGATGTAATACGTATGACAACTACAACATAACGGGGGAAGTTAATGTAAGGTTTATACATTTCTTTTGAAGTAGTGAAATCTTAGTTCTAAGTACACTGCGAAAAGTTAAGAATGTGTATTTTAATCCCCAGAACAGTCACTGAGACAAATACAAAAAGATATAGCAATTAGTAAAAAATGATATATATACACACATATTGTTTCATTTATATACATATAAATGAAAATGAAACAGTTTAAAAATTCAAATAACACAAAAGAAGGCAGGAAAAGGAAAATAGAGGGAGCAAAAAAAAAATAACTATTAAAGTGGTACACCTAATTCATTACAATACTTACATTAAATAAAAGTGACCTAAACACACCAATTAAAAGATGCAATTATCAGCATGAATTGCAAAAGAAAAAGAAACAATTACATGTTATCTATAAAAAATGCATTTTAAATAAAGAAAAGCAAGTTAAATTAAGAGAATGGAAATAGATATACCATATAAACACTAAAGGAAGTTTAGAGCGACTTTATTAATATCAGACAAAGCATACTTCAGAGCAAGAAAATTTACCTCATAATAAGAAATCATAGAAGCCTTTTGCTGAATAAAAGAAGGCAATCTTGCAAGGCCCCTCAATGATTCCATTTATATGACGTTCTGGAAAAGCCTTAGTGATAGGTACAGAAGACAGATTTGTCGTAGGGGGCTTTGGAGTAGGGGAAATGTTTGACCATGAGGGAGTGGCACGAGAGAGTTTTCCGGGCAGTGGTACTGCCTGTACCCTGACTGTGATGGTGGCACATGAATCTGTACATCTTTTAAAGCTCCAAGAACCATGCAAAAGTGGGGCAATATTAATGTAGACAAATTGAAAAGTATTTTTAAAAAACTTTAAACAATGGTGGGGCTCCATATTCTATTTCTGTCGCTTTCACTGTGGCTGCTTGCTCAGCCACACCGGAAGTCTGCCTTTGTTATGCCCCACACAGCCCAGTTCTGCCCCTTGAAGGGCATCCAGATGTGTGCTGTCTGGGCACGGTTGTGGCCTGGTGTGTGGCTGCCGAGTGTGAGCACCAGGGGGTGCTGTGCAGACCTCAGGGCACAGCAGTTGCTAGCTGGCACGTCACAAAGACAATCTACTGCACTCGAGTTAAAATCTTCACTAAAAAAAGATGAACTGAGATCAGAGAAGCCTACACTCTGATCTTATGCTTATCAATGTCTTCTCCCCATGGTAGGGTTGCCAAATTCAGCAAACAAAATCACAGGATCCCCTGTTAATTTGAGCTTCAGATAAATAACAGATAGTTTTTGTGTACATATGTATCCCAAATATGCGTAGTCCTATATTTTATTTGGTGACCCTAGCCCATGGGCCTGGGTTTATAAATAGTAAGTAAAGTTTCCTTTCCCCATGGTCCTTATTAGTCCTTTGGGACTGATTTCAGCCAAGTCCACGTACCCATTCATGTATTCATTCATTTGTTCACTCACTGTATAAGTGTATTGAGTGCCTACTGACCATCAAACCTCTGAGCAACACAGGCAAACACTGAACAGGCTCAGTCCCCAAGACCAAATAGCCAAAATCTGGACCATCACCAATTCTGGCCACCAGATTCCCCTGAGCACCCAAAACCTGAGCTGCCTTTTGGTTTTTTCTTCTGTTTAAGATAAAATTCACCCAGCATGGGTTAGAGGGGTCCTGGGCAGGAAGGGGTGCTTCCAGCAGGATGGAAATCCAGCCAGCTGGGCCCCGCCGAGCCCGCTCCCGACAGCCCCCCACCCTGTGAGGAGGAGCCTGGCGGCTCTGATGGACGGTGAGGGGCAGCGTGAGCTGGCTGCAGAGCATGTCTCCATTAGGGAGCCTCGCTCCAATGGGCCCTTTGGCTCTGAGCTTGCCCATTAATCACCCCAAGGTAAAGCAGGGCTGGCTGAGAAAATGCATTTCTCCTACTCTCCAGCGAGTCTAGGTCCCCAGACAGCCTCGGCCAAATGGAGCATGGGAGCCCCCGCCCCTTCATGCTTCTCTGCAGTGCCCTGCCCTGGCTGGCACCCTCGTTCTCAGTTA